TATATCGGATAATCAACGGTTTATTGATATAACTATTCGATCTGAAATCAACAAATTTCACAACAGTTATTTGTGGTATTCACCTACGTTGAGATCCCTAACAAATAAATAAAGAATTACCGTAGAAAACTCAAACCAAACCTACTTCTGTGGCGGATTTCCATAAACTATGAACTACTGAACTGAAACTGCGGCTTGAATTACCGAACTCGGTGAACTTAAACTCCTGTATCTGGTAAGCGGCTGATTCACATTTTTTCTAAACGTGCTATAACTAGACAGGAAACTAAAACCAATCAAAGTGTAAATTGTTCCTAAGTGTCAATCAAAGTTTGCCTATTGTCCGTTAATAATTAATTCCGTTGAGGGAACAACATTCAAAACACAACTGCGATAGAGAATCAAGTTTATCTTAAAGAAAACACTACCAAATTGTGTACACAGTTCAGCATCTGTGCTAATATTAGAATGAACAAATTAACGAAGATGTATGAATATATCTTTCCTCAGGGTTTGTCTGTTTACAGAGTACCATCAGCACGTGCCTGCTATGTATCTAAACTGGATTCATCTCTTCCAGAGCCGGGGAAGATGAGAGTCAACATGGAACAGGTAGAGTCTACAGATCATATAAATCAGAGATTCTAATCTCTTGGTAGAGTGAGGAGTTATCAAATTCAATTTCAATGGTGTTTTAATTTGTTGAAGCGGATTTTACTTTTCATCACGACTGTAGCTGTCGGTAAGTTAAAGATTAAGTTTGGTTACACATTAGTCACGCGCAAGATCAAAATGCCATTATAGTACCTCGTGGGTTGTTGCTTGAAAGAGAGTTAATGGGAAAGAGTTATCTGCGAAGGTATGTCCCTGTCTGAGAAAGTGTTCCAGGAGCCAAAAGTGATGGTCAACCGATTTGGCTGAAACTTGAATTGGCCCAAAAGTTGAGTGTGACAAGATATTTCAAAAGCCACTTTGGCTCACTTCTCTGACTGTTCGGTCTGGAGTTTCAGGGGAGTTCCATTTGTGGCCTATTCTCAAGCGATTAGGTAGAGAGGGCTCTTTATTTGGGTAGCCTCACTTGTGGGTTATGACTGCTTTCGCCCCGTTGCAAGCTCGCCCTACCGCCAGTTCACCTCAAATCTTTAAAGGAGCACTCTTATGAAACCGCCCTATAATTTGAAAACCTGAAAAATTCAGTTATTTCATTATGATATGAATTTTTAGCGATTGGTAAAGCCTTTTCAACAATAATTTTAGTTGAAAGTCAATTCTAGGGCGAGAAATTACGATTTGAAAACCGTTCGTTCATGAATTTTCGTAATCACTTGCCAGGCTCAAGAAGACTGGCGCGAGTTTGGAGATTACTCATTTAACGCGCCGTGCTCGTGGCTAACTTTCAAAAACAGTATTTTGATCCTATATATTGCTTTTAATAACACTAAGACTAAGACTATTTCAATAAATTTCACGAGGTTTCTGTATAAATATAGAAGTGTTTTGATTAAACTACGTCATAATGGAAGGGAAGGTGACGTAGATTACTCATTTGAAGTGCCGTGCTCATGGCTAATTTAAAAAAAAGTATTTTGATCGTATATACTGCTTTTTATAACACTAAGACTAAGACTATTTCACTAAATTTCACGAGGGTTTCCGTATAAATATAAAAAGTGTTTTGAGTAATCTACGTCACAATGGGAGTGACCGTTGACCGAAGATAAGTTGGCCGTGATCACGAAAATTAATTGCGGAACGGTTTTCAAATCGTAATTTCTCGCCCTAGAATTGACTTTCAACTAAAATCAATATTGAAAAGGCTTTATTAATCGCTAAAAATTTATCTTATAATGAAATAACTGAATTTTTCGAGTTTTCAAATCATAGGGCGGTTTCATAAGAGTGCTCCTTTAACGCCACAACATGTTTCTTTCCTAACGAAATTATCATAGATTTGATTAATGTGCAAATTTAATGTCGTTTCTAAAACGCTGGACTGGTCAAGCATGGTTAGTGGATTTTGACCGCCGGCCGCGCTCTTGATATGCCAGCTGGTACCTGTGTTTATCTCTGTAGTTCTACAGTGGAGGGGGACAGGGGGGGCGGGAGCCTGGGAGAACAGGGGGTGGAAAAGAGAGGGAAGCGGGAGAACAGAGGGCAGGAAGCAATATCTACATGAGGGCGGGAAGCAGTATCTACATGATGGTGGGAAGCGGAAGCAGAAATAAATAAGGCGATAGTTTGTTGTTTATTACTGGGTATTATTCAGTCAAAAACACTTATCTAGCAACGTTTTGAAATTTCCACTTAACATCCACCAACGTTTAAAAGAAAATTTCGGAGGCAAGAAAACATGAGATAGCATGACATGTATAGTGTTTGGTAAGCTGTAGCTGTCAAAAATGTCCAGCAAAGAAAGCGATTCAGGGTCATTCAGGTCACACGCCGTCAAAGACTATATTAATCGGCCTCAGTATTTTTCGTTGTGACCACGAAAAATCCGTTCATGGAAGACCTTCCTGGGAGTTCGCTCCGCACAACTCAAATTACATCACACAGTGAAATGAGACTTTCGTCTTTATAAGGAGATGTCATAAGCGACTATCAAACTGTGATAATTCGGTTAGTGTTGATTAAGAAAACTGACCTGTGTGAACTTTCATCGGGAACCAATGATCCCCCGCCAAAATAAAGGCTAGAAAATGAAAAAGAATATTAATTTTTGGCACAGTTTGAAAGTTAAACCCTGGTTTCTGTTTCTCTTGATTAACCTGAATGTGACAAGTTGCGTGACTTTTTTATAATGCTCTATCGTGATTCTGTCAATCAGCTTTTGTATGCGTCATTGTCCGGGCATGTGCGGGGACCTTGTGTCATTCGATGAGCAGCACGTAGTTCGGTCGTCCTGGCGCAGTGTGATTTTTTTAATAAAACCGTTTAAACCTCTATTTGCCGTTTCTTACATGGTGGCAGCGGTCACAGGACCCATACGGACGGAAGACTACTAGTATGGCATCAGGATTTAGTTTACCGCCGCCGGCACCCCTAGAACTTCACGATCAAAACGCCGCAGAGAAGTGGAAGAAATTTCACTTAGCATGGACAAGCTATTCTCTGGCTACGGAACTTAACAAGAAAGCCCAACCAGTCCAAGTTGCTACTCTCCTCACAGTCATAGGCGAAGAGGCTCGCGATGTTTATTCCACGTTTACAGATTGGACCGAGGAGGGCGACGAGAACAAGATTGCCCCGGTTTTGACGAAGTTTGCCGAATATTGCCAACCGCGAAAAAATGTCCCCTTTGAGCGCTACCGATTCAACCGCCGATCACAAGAAGCAGGAGAAACATATGACCAGTACAAGACCGCACTTCGTAAACTCGCCGCGGGATGCGAATTCAATACCATAACTCCGGACGAAATACTCAGAGACCGTTTGATTTTTGGCATACGCGACACAAAAGTCCGGGAGAGATTACTTCGCGAGGCTGCTCTCACCTTAGCCAAAACAGACGAGATTTGTCGCGCCGCCGAAAGCATGCAAGCCCAAATGAAAGTTGTTGGAGATGCCACCGAATCGGAAACCAACAAAGTAGATCAAGAGCGTACCTCTAACGTAAGAAAACCAAAGAAGAATATGCGGAGAAGACAACAGCAAAGTCAACGCGGACGTAATTGGAGAGAGTGTGACAATTGTGGATATCAACATATGGAAAACTTGGAATCCTGTCCCGCACTCGGTAAAGAATGCTTAAAGTGTGGAAAGAGGAATCTTTTCATAGCGAAATGCAAGTACAAGGAGGTCAAAGCCGCCGATTTAGAAGACGAAGAGGCCAGCGAAATGTACCAAAC